TGGGAAAATTCTCAGGCCATTTTACTCAGTCCATTCACCTTTTTGTGGTCAATTTCAACAAAAATCACCAGCAATTCAAATAGGACAATGAAATGGTAGTTTATACATCGAAAGAAAATTATGCCCAGCATCATCTATTGATGATGTTGTATTGATGTTCGTGATTTAAACATAAATCAGTTATCAGTCTGCCATGTTGAGGCGAATGCAAAATACAGAATCGCTCATCTTTTCTTTCTTTGTGTGAGCATTTTACAGGAGTCTTTCTGTAGCTGGATTCTGCAGTGTCTGTGATTTTTATTTCCGTACAGAACTATTTTCCTCTTACATTCTCTGTAATTGGTTTTTGATAACTTTTGATGTGCAAGACAATAAAGAGATGAATGAATATATATCCTTTAAGTAAAAAGCACGATGATTTTTTTTTTATTAGTTATTGAATACTTTTAATTTTGTGATCTAGTGACCAATATATATATATATATATATATATCACAAATGCACATTTTCACAAGTTACAATCACACTTTTTAAATGCTTTTTATAATTCTGCCCAGTTGTTTTAATTCATTTAGAAATATTATGCAAGGGTAATTTAAAAAAGCCTACGTTAAATTTTTACCAGTATAGTAATATTATACCATTTTTTTTTTTAAAACACTTCTCTGTTTTTGTCTAAAAAGCAACTAGCAATAACAAAACATGTAAGAATTACATTAGCAAAGATCATTTTTATTTGTGAATTTGACAATGACATCATAATGACATAATGTTTTAGATGGTTGGTTTCTTAAATAAGCTTAACTTTGATTTTTATTTAAAACATGGTTAGCTCACAAAAATAAACCTATTCATAACCGGAAAATTCAACACACAGACACAGACACAGACACACACACACACACACACACACACACACACACACACACACTAGAATGGCGTCTTCAAGATGACGTACGTAGCGTCCCACAATTCAACTCGGCGCGCGAAAGCTGACTACACACACACACACACACACACACACACACACACACACTAGAATGGCGTCTTCAAGATGACGTACGTAGCGTCCCACAATTCAACTCGGCGCGCGAAAGCTGACTGAGGTAAACAACAGAAGAGTGCAGATCGCTGACAGATCTAGACCGAACAAACAATGAGCAAAAAAGACAGTGCAGGTACGCGATGCTTCTTTTTCTTACACTAGTGAACATTTTATGCCTTCGCTTGCTTGTGATTTTATGAATGATATAGCACAACGCTACAATACATTAATCGGCTGTACTCTTCGTGTCACACACAGGTGCCGCACAGATCCTCGTTTACTTGAATGAGAAAAACAGACCCTTTAGTGCTCAGGATGTCTTTACAAACCTACAGAAGCAGTGTGGTCTGGGTAAAACGGTAAAAAGCAACATTACATTTCAGAGTTCTGCTTTGACGACAAATGTCCAGTAGCTAAGAGAGTCTGTGATATTACAAGAACTCTTTGAAGTGTTCACAGTTTGTGCTAAATGTTATAATTTAATATTACAGTTTGTATACAGAGTGTATTATGTGGGATGATTTAGTTTCTCTTCACTTAACTTACACAGGCTGTGGTCAAAGCAATGGAGCAGCTGGCCCAGGAGGGAAAGATTCAGGAGAAAGTCTATGGAAAGCAGAAGATCTACTTTGCAGATCAGGTTGGTCTGATTCCTCATTGAATATAATCGGGTGGAGACAATTTGCTCTTAATATTAAGAGAACCGGTATTGGTTAATCAGCCTGACAGATGTCCTTTCAATCCCTTCAGTCTCAGTTTGCGGATGTGAGTGATGCTGAACTTAAGAAGATGGATGCTCGTATTGTGGAAATCAGCACTGAAGTACAGACCATATCACAGAGCTGCAGGCAGCTGGATACAGGTGTGCACTGAACATGCGCTGCTGGGAAAAGATGTGTTTGAACTTGTGCACCGACTGTTTGTATTTGATAAAAAGTTAATCTTTTTGCCCTCAGAACTGAAGGAGCTGAACAGCTCATTAACCACAGCAGAGATGAAGGCACAGATCCAGGAGCTGCAGGCAGAGTGCTCTGGGTACAGAGAGAGGCTGGATGAAATCAAGTCAGCTAAAAACCATGTGACCCCTGAGGAGAGGCAGAAGGTTCGAAATCATTGCGTTCTTTAATATCTGGTGATCTTTTTTACCTTGGCCCCAAAACCAAGTGTTAACGTTTACCAGCCCTGTGCATGATTAATGAACACAAAATGTAGTGTCGAATAAGTGCAAGTGACAGTTCATCCACCGACATGAATCTCTCCCACACTGGCCCTGGGCCATTTTTATTGTACATTAAATTGCTTTTTGTAAGCAATGCAAAAAGACTTCTCTTCTAGCATCTCTGGAATATGTTTGATTCATTAGGTGAAGTTTATACAGATAATGTGGCTGTCCTGGGGCAGTCAATAGTATATTATGCTTGTTTATGTTGCTGACAAATGTATTTCTTGCCCTTCAGGTTTACAAGGAGAGAGAGACTTATGTGAAGGAGTGGAGGAAGAGGAAGAGACTGGTAATGATCCGTAAAAACATTTATTCACAACTTCAGATTCTGCCCAGGAGACAAAATGTCAGCTTATTTTTAATGATACAGCTGTAAGGCATGCCTTTATGAAAGTGCATTCATTTCAGATTTATCTTTGTGTCCTCAACACCATGGTTTATTTATATACGAATGGAAACTGCTCTTGCACATTATGGTTTTTACTGTCACTGCCAATGGTCAACTGACCTAAAATGATACCTGTAATACTGCTATATACCTTACACTATACAGATAGTTATTAAGCCTTATGTACCATAATATGAAACTCCAAGAACAGCTTTTAATTTGTCTCTTTACCTGCCAGGTTACTGATATGGTTGGAGCTATTTTGGAGGGGTACCCAAAGAGCAAGAAACAGTTTCTGGTGAGTCATTTCCTTAGAACGGGTTTTTTTTGACAGCCAAACCCCTTAGAAGTAACACATTTACTTGAAGTACCCCCTGAGATTTGACGTTAATATTTCATTTACAACACATTTGCTTGTTCATGATTCTCTGATGTCGGTTAATGGTCACATGATATGCAAGTAAATAGATAGTGAATCTCGTTTCAACTCTAATCACAAAAATGAAGAAATATATTACTGTTGTAAATTACAAATGTAATGTAAAATTAAAATGAATATTTGATGATAATCATAATTTTTACTCTACAAGTAACAATACTGATATTTATGTCTTAAATTCTTCACTTTTTAATGTTCAAACCCTAAAGGTTTTATTTTGCCTTAATACTATTGAAATGTTGCAAATTTCTGGCCACAAAAATATTGGAAATCATGTGACTAAATAAAGTGAACCTAGCTCAAGTGGCGTACCAAAATGCACATTAAAATTGCAGCACATGCAGAGATGAAGTTTTAATTTTACATAGGATATTACCAATTACTAGCTTTTCATCAACTTAAAAAAAAACCCTGAAGTCCCCCCACAAACCGCTAGGGGTTCACAGTATTTCTGTTCACAGAAAAACAATGTTGCCTACCCGAGTCTTTCCTCTACATCTTGTTTGTGTTTGAAATCAGGAGGAGGCTGGGATTGAAACAGATGAGGACCATAAAGTGACAATGCCCAACATCTGATGGAGGACTCACTGAATAAATTCAGATGCCGCGCCAACATTGTTGCCGGGACGCCTAACCTTTGGGAAGGTTGGAAAGTAGAGGATTCTAGGACACCAAGAGAACTGTTTTGTTAAAAACCAATCCTATTTATAAAATTGTTGAGAGAGAAAGAACAAACAAGCTGTAAATAAGTTTGAAAATTGTTTATTTTTCAATTAAAAAAATTATACTGATACAAAAATATTTCAACCAGATTGTTCCATTGAAGTCAGAAATGCAGAAGCACAGAGTCTAGTATAGTAGTTCAGCACGACGTAGCCTCGTTCTGTGAGCTGGCATTTCGCTCCACTGTATGGCTTAACTTGTAAAGACGTCCCTTATTCCAGCACAGGTCAAACAGTTGGTTGTACAATCATCTGTTATTTAAAAAAAGATCTCGATACCTAAAAATCTGTGTCCTGAGTAGACTCCAATTCTAATTTTCATTATGCTTTAATTAACATTCATTAAAAATATAAATAGAATTGGGCGGTCACACCAAGTGAAGCTGCTACCATGCACTGTCTTCACTGATAGCTTATGCAGCACAAAAAAATACTTCACAAGAGCTTAAACCATTAACATAAATGTAGAATAAAACATTGCGCTCCACACAGCTGAACAAAAATTGACATAACCTGACAAACAGAGGTTTATCTTCCATTATTTGTGCGTAGACACTGCAATCTTTGGTCACAGCATCCCAATGACAGTGGTTTAAAAGAGGAACTAAGATGGCTCAGCATTGCCTAACTTTAATTATATTAAAGCATGAGGGACAGCTGTTTGTGGACGTAAAAACCAACTGACAGTGATACATCACAGTGTAACTAGATGTCTCGGCTCCCCTTTCTAGCACTAGGCTGTTCGCAAAGGTGAAAATGTAGTTGTGCTTTGGAAAATGACTTGAACATGAGGTAAAGATGATAACTGAATGCAACATACCAAGCTTAATCATTCAAAGGCAGCTTCTGGTTTATAATGCAGCAAACTGAGACACATCTCGCACCTCAGTATATGGGGTGTGAATTTGGCTGATAGCTGAGTATTCCTCATATTTGTGGTTGTCAGGATGCTATTTTATCTTAGCATCACAACTGCAAACTTGAAAATATGAATACTGATGAAGCTGTTCTGGATTTAGACAACAAAAAGAAATGATTAAACTTTAGGACTGAGGTGTGTTCGACAACACCGAAATAGAACTTACACATTCTTAAATTTTTCAACCAGCTGAAGATGTGTAAGGAAACAGAATATGCAATCGCAAACATATTGGAACAGATTATTACATTCCAAATGATTAGTAAGAAAATGACATTTTGACAATTTGACTAAATTATTGCATTTCCACATTTTTTGATTGGAATCACTGCCATAAACACTTCACTATATCAGTCAATACTTGAGCAAGCGCTGCTACATCTCTTCAGAGTTCTTGAACGCACCGCAGTCCATTAGAGAGACTGTTCTTGAATGAGCTATTAGCCTGAGAGACAGACAGACAGCTTCAGTACAGCTGACCATTCACTTGCTGCAGCACAGTCACCACAAACTCTCTCAGCGTCTGTCAACAATACAGAAAAACATGGTCAGTCTGGGAGTTTTCAGTGTTTATCTAAGCCTGTGTAGGTGACTGACTGAAAAACTGAAGCTTGCTGTCGCTTGTGTAGTGATCAGGTTGTCTACATTGGTTTGAGTAGTGTTATTAATGTTTTTATGGCACGTTTTGCGTGTTTAATGCATTTCCGGGTTGTTCTGTCTTGTTCGTACGAATACATTTGAAGAGCCAGGGTTCCCACTGTCTGGAAAAACCTGGATAGCCTAATTTTAAGTGTGATTGCTAGACTTGGAAAGTCAATATTAATAAAATATTAAATCGTTGCTATATAATATGTTTTATGAATATACTTTTTTTTTTTCTAGTTCTCACACTCTGAAATATTTTATTAGGTAGAAACTGTGAGTAAAAACTATTTTTAAAATCCCTTCTGAATCCTTATCCAGTAAATCACAAACAACTGGAAAACTCATGGGGCCTTTAAATATTGTTGTGGGCCTTAAAGAAAAAAAAAAGCTGAGAACTGCAACATAGCAGATCATTCAGGTATGAACAGGCCTTAAATGTGTGAACATGTGCATGTGTGCTACCTGGGGCTTGCAATGTTCCTCGATCCAGCTGAAGACGCAGGCAGAGAGCTCCTGAAAGCTGTTGACTGACACTGAGGCACTGAAGGACTGGAACAGAGAATCCATGATGCTCTGAAACACACTGAACTTCACCTGATCTGAAACCTGCTCGCTGCCCTGCTGAGGGTTATTCTGATGGGCCTTCACAATGTGCTCATAGTTCCTGAAACAAACCCCACAAAGTGTCCATTAGAGACAGTATCTAAGAATTTTCTTCCTCCCTTCCTCTTAAAGGGTGTTATCTTTCTTGGCAGAAGAGTGACAGTGGTCAGATAAAACCCTCTGAAAGCAGACAACAACCCTGTAGGAGAATAAGTGGAACTACATTTGTCCACTTAAGCAGTTCAAATGTTTCTGACCACTCACGTTTTCATAATTTTCAGCGCCATCACCTCCTTCCTAAGAGTGGAAACATCCTCTTCCTGCTTCTTCTTTTCTTTGTGGAGAAACTGAATGTAGTCGATTGCTGCAAACACACACACAAGTCACTGAGCTTTTCCATTCCAGAGTAAAAGAATGGAGACATGTGACGAGGAAATATCAATAGATAATGAAGGTTCTCACTCTTCTGCAGGACTGTAGCTTTACTCATCTTCTGTGTGGCCATGGCAAAGTCCGACTGCTGCTGGCATGTAGGCACTATAAACTGCAGGTCATCATAGCCTTTCTGTGGGACAGAGATCCACACATACACATTTGAGTGACAGAAGTAGAACGCTAGAAGCACGGGACTGTTATCTTTTATACGCGAGTAGCTCACAATCCACTGTTTACAGGATCACAAAGTGACTCAGTTCACAATAAATTCTGCTCCACATGAACTCATCTCTGCATGTTTTGGGTAATGTGCATTTGGGAACACAACATGCGCTGACCAACTTCACAAATTTGTGATAAAAAGCGCTCAAAAACCAGCTGTTGTCAACAAAAGAAGCTTTAAAGGATCCATGCGATTGCGATTTATTTATTTTATTTATTTCCACCAAAACTAAAGCTTGATGAATTATTATTATTGTTTTATTATTAGTATTAGTATTGCCACATTGCTATATAATACGAAGGTGTTTGGCCAAATTGAGCAGCCCTACAAACAAGCACAACTTAATAAAGCTTAATAAAAAATCATATTCACAATTTTTATCAGGGAAAAAATTTAATAAAACAAAAATAATTTGCAATTTCCCCCCACAAATTGTGCAGACCTATGTTGACAAAATCATTATTTATCTTTGCCTTTTTTTTTTTTTTTTCAGATTTAGTCTCTTAAAATAGTATGAAATGAAAGTTAAATCAATCCAAAGACGGACATCTTTGGCAGTTACATCTCATCTTGCAGCATATTTTTAAGGCAGCATGTCAAGTTAAACATATTTCAACATAAAAAAAAAATAAAAAATGCATCTCATGACACTGTTCCATTTCATTGCATCAGACGGAACTGCAATGCTGCCGCCCTGAACTGAAAGTCACAGAGTACAGCTGCTGTCAGAAAAGCAACTGAACCACAACTTAACACCCAAAATACCACCATAACCTATTGTAATATTACAAATGGAATATTTTGAAGTTTGAATGTAATCAAGTCAAGTAATTACTGTGCTTTTATGATTGATTATTGCGGTCACTTATGTAAGCTACTATATTTTCTGTCTTTGTTTTCCCTAAAACAATTGGCTCTTCTCACTCTTACCTTGATGGCATCTCTGCGTTTCTGCTCTGCCTGTGTGTGTGCCTGTCTCCTCCGATCTTTATACGACTCCTTATAGGGCGTCTCATGTCTGTTGTCACTGTCTTCATCATCTAAACCAAAGGGATGAACCGTATGTTAGCAAGACTGTATCTTGATGTCTGTCTTTAAAGTTGCAATAATCAACACATATTTCCTTTTATATTGTGACGTACAGCTGAGTGTAACATAATTGAAAAAGAAAACAATATAGGCCATGGACTTGGTTCTTTGCATCAGAGGCAGATGCTTGGGAGACTGCAGGAGCAGGGATTAAATGCTTGGAAGAGTCTGGCATACGTATGCATGGATTTAATTGTTCACAATTAGATCTAACACATGCATTTTAGAAAACAGATGGGTGAATTTTGTCTTTTTCATGACAGGGAAACGACCATTTTAGAGTAAAGGTTATAAAATAATGGCCATGTTTGATATTAGATGATTGAGATTAGTATCATCACCTGTGTTTGGTACTGAAGAGGCACTTGTGGATCCAATGCTGTTGGCTCTTGACACCAAACTTCCTTTGTGAGCACTCTCGGCAAAGAAACCTAATGATATGGACATTTGGACATATGGTTACTTCAGCATTTGACAGCACAAAGTAGTTTCAGTTTTGTCAAGTCCACCCTATGGGTTAATTATATTTTTATAACTGCAAATCCAACCTTCGTCTTGGCACATAAGCTGGAGAAAAAAACAAAAAAACAAAACAGTAGTTGAGACTCTCAGTAATATTTTATAGCCCAGGTACTCACTGTGATCGAAGCCGTTGTCGCTGAAGGCGCCGTCCGTCTGCTGAGACATGGTGACGGGTGATGTCAAAAAGACAAACAGAAGGAATAGTCAAAGCCAGCCAGACTAAACATTCAGAGACCAGCAGCCAACTGATGATCACATATGCAAACTGAGCCTGACCTGTCCTGCCTTACCTTTATCTAGGACACCTCTAACTCCCCACTGTGATGTGTCCCAAATAACCCCTTTAAAAGGTGACATTTAATCTATATGCATAATCAGTGGTCGAATTGTAAACATTTTTTAAGGGGGATGGTGGGGTGGGGGATCCTGTGTGATTACAAATTTGTCTAATTTTTTAAAATTATTATTTAACAAAAAATAAGCTTTATAAAGTGATCTGTGGTTTATGAGCTGTTTTCCTTGTGTCAAAAGTTATATGTCACAATGTAGGTTAAACCAATGCACACACACGCGCACACAATTTCTGTGTGTCTGTGTGCCAAATGACCGAAATGATGCCCCTTGTGTGGCATGTTGACAAAAAATTATATAATATTTTTGGGGGTATTTTTTGACAATAACTATGATTAATATTTTGCTGAGTGCTGGTTTAGGCCTGTCATGGATAAAGAAATATGACACTAAAACCGCCAGTAGGTGGCGGCAAGTATCTGTTTTAATGAATGATTCATTGAATCCTTCAATCAAACGATTCTTTCAAAATGGCTGATTCAATTAGAATCAAAGCAAGTTGACTGTCTTTATGAATGGATCATTGAATAATTGGCTCACTTGCTTTGTTCAAAAAGAGATTCATTCATGAAAGAAACACTGCATGCTCTGAGACACACGGCAGATCTACTCCAGCTTTGTTTGCAAGTATTTAATTTGCAAAACAGGAAAAAAGACTAAATGCGTCTAAAATATAACTCACTCACTTAACTTGACTAACTCACAGCCTAACTAAATAGGCTAAAGATAAAAAATAAAAACTCACAGGGATATTTATCTTTCATTATTTTAATTATCTTCGTTCTAATAGACTTAATCATGCAATGAATGCTTTTGGACTCGAGACGTTTGTTTTTTCCACACTTCATAACAGTGGTGTAGGCAGAATTTTATTTTTGGGCGGGCCAAAAGTGAGCAGGCACCCATTCCCAATCCCCCCCTCGAAAAACTTCCATCTAATTTTCTCCTCCAACTTCAAAATCATCCTACATTGCTGTTTTACCTTTTTTTTTTGTAAAGGGCGTTTGACCTTCTTTGCATGTTCACTTTGTAAACGCTGGGTCGGTACTTCTGCAGCGATGTAGGACGATTTTGAAGTTTGTCTGAACCTGTTTTTATACAGTCTATGGTATGAACAGGCATTACGAGATTTTCGGTTTCAGTGGGCGGAGCATACATGAATATTCATGAGTTTCCCGGACATGCGCGTGGAACCAGGTGGAACTGAGAATTTAATGGGTTTAATGGAATATAAAAAATAAAAAAAAGGTAAATATATTTACAGCGTTGCACAAACCTATACCTAAACTACATTTGTTCATCATTTTGTAACAGTTTATAATGTTATTAGTTTGCACGTTTTGTGCAGTCGTCACTGACTGAATGATTGCAGACATTCAGCACACTTAAACTAGTTGTAACTTACTTTGATTTCAGTTCGTTGTGCTGTAGCTTGCAATGCTTTAAAACTGTGTCTGTTGTTAGTTGTTATCATTTTGAGTACAACAGCTGAAATAAACTTGTATCTGTGGATCGTTTTTCATCTATCCTGCTGTGATTGTTCTTAAACTGTTAGACTTAGGCTACATTTACAAAATGAATAGGAATCTAAGACCACACACACAAGCATTAAAGTGTTCTTTAATAAGTAAAATTTCGGATTAAACAAAATTGTATGGACAAAAGTTTAAAAAGTAGCCTACATTTGGTACACTGTAAATGAGAAAACAAATACTTCACTGCATTTTATGGAATGGAATAAGAAACTAAATTCATGTTAAAAAATAATTTTATTAACAAATGTTCATACGTGTGCTTATGCTTGTTTTGATATGATATATACACAATACTGTTCTAAGGATTTGTATTAGTAAGGTTCTTTCTTCATGTTCACCAACTGCATTTAGGCTATCAGATTAAAAATATATAAAAAAAAAACATTAATATTGTGAAATAAGTTTACAATTTAAAATAAAGTTTCCCCCCCCCCTGTGATGTCAGATCTCAACTTCTCCCTTTCAGTGTCTCGTGATCCTTCAGAGATCATTCTAATATGCTGATTTGCTGCACAAGAAACATTTCTGATTATTATCAATGTTGAAAATGGTTGTACTGCTTAATGAAGTGTGGACACCATTATACAGCGTCAGGATTCCTTGATGAATAGAAAGTTCAGAGGAACAGCATTTATTGGAAATATAAATCTATAAATGTCTTTACTGTAATTTTTATTAAATTAATGCATCCTTGAAGAACAAAAATATACATTTCTTAAAAATGTACATTTCTTCATAGTAATCCCAAGCTTTTGGGTAATGTCCTGTATCAAATGCCAGAATCAAGTTAAAAAAATGTCTCTTCTTTTTTTTTAGCTTTATTATGTCATATTTTTATACAGCAGATTCTACAAGGACGTTAACATCACACTCTCTTGTCTCCAATGTTGTCTTGTTTGCTCACATAATATCAAACATTCACACCAACACACATTTTACCAACATCGTATCATACGCTAATCAAGGCCACAATCCAATCTTTATTCCACTTCATTTTTTTATATTTAGAGGCCCTTTTTATTTATTTATTTATGTAGTCATTTAGCAGACGCTTTACACATACATACAAAAAACAACAAAAAGTCTAACGCAGTACACGTAGCAAGGTTTATATATATATATAAACAAAAAGAAAACAAGCTGTTTGAAAATGAATAGAAAGTGCAAGTGTTAGAGGGTCAAGTCAACAAATAGATAAAATAGAATTACAATAGAGAGTGCTAGGTGCTAGAGATCAAATATAGATGGAAGAGATGTGTTTTTAGCTGTTTCTTGAAGATGGCTAAGCAGTCAGCAGTCAGCATTGAGTTGGGCAGGTCATTCCACCAGAATGCGTGAACTCTGTTTTTTTCCGGTTCAAGACAGTTAGGGTATGTCGAAAAACTCCCAACTCATTTTCTCCTCCAACTTCAAAATCGCCCAACATATTATTTTTTTTCTTTAGAAAATAACCGATCGTTTCGCTAGATAAGACCCTTCTTCCTTGGCTGGGATCGTTTAGAGCCCTTTGAAGCTGCATTTAAACTACATTTTGGAAGTTTTGGAAGTTCGGCAGCATAGAAGTCCATTATATGGAGAGAAATCCTAAAATATTTTCCTCAAAAAAACATAAAAAACATACGACTGAAGAAAGACATGAACATCTTGGATGACAAGGAGGTGAGTACATTATCTGTACATTTTTGTTCTGGAAGTGAACTAGGCTAATCTTACTCCTTTAATCTCAGTCAATTCACCAGAAAGTGACAAACTGCTTTCCGCATCTGATGCCGCATATTCTCTTAGAGATGATGAGACGTACGAATCTATACGCTGATTTTAATTTAGCCTACTCTCTTAATATTTCTCTTGTGGCCCGAACATAGGCTAGTGAAGAAGAAAAAAAAGAGAAGAAACTTATAGGCTGTTTTGTGTTAAACAGGTTGTTTTTTGAAAGTCGGTGCTTGAAATTAAGCTGCTCTTCATTTTTATTGATGATTTCAGTGTTAATAATTTTAATTATAGGTCTATAATTCATTACATAATAAACGTTTTTTTTTTAGCAAAATTACTCTGGACCCCTCACACCCAGCACACTTCCTCTTTGAACTGTTGCCGTCTGGCCGGCGCTACAGAGTACTGAGCACCAGAAAGGCCAGACATAGGAGAAGTTTCTTCCCTCAGGCCATCTACCTCATGAACAGTTAAATGTTCTCTGTGCAATAAAACATGTGAAATACCCAACTATCTATCCTTATATTTATTACATGTATGTTATTGATTTAATATATCTTACATCTATCCACATTCCCTTGCATAATTAGTCTATAGCACATCTGTACATACAATACTGTTTACTGTCTCTTTGCAACAATATGTAAGTGCTGTAACAAATCTAGTCTAACGCATTAATAAAGTACAAGTTATTAAAATAAAATAATTTATTATAATAATTTACAATAAGTAATATAATAATTTATAATAATTATTATAACAAAAAGGAAAACAAGCAGATGGAATAGAAAAAGTATAGAGAACGCTAGTGTTATAGGGTCAAGTATTTGAATATAAATAAAAAGAAAACAAGTAGAGAGGTTTGAAAATGAATAGAAAGTGCAAGTGTTAGAGGGTCAAGTCAACAAATAGATAAAATAGAATTACAATAGAGAGTGCTAGAGACAGAGGGTCAAATATAGATGGAAGAGATGTGTTTTTAGCTGTTTCTTGAAGATGGCTAAGCAGTCAGCTGCTCGAATTGAGTTGGGCAGGTCATCAGATACAAGGAGCCTGAACTGAAATTCTCAGTTCCACCTGATTCCACGCGCATGTCCGGGAAACTCATGAATATTCATGTCTGCCCCTCCCACTGAAACCGAAAATCTCGTAACACCGGAAAACACAGTTCAGCAGAACTAGACAAAACAAGCCTTTGAGGTTAAAAAGTATATAAATTGTAACTCTTTTTTTTTTTTTTTTTTAAAAAAAACCCATTCTCTTTGTAAACACTGGGTCGGTACTTCTGCAGTGATGTAGGACAATTTTGAAGTTGGAGGAGAAAATGAGATGGGAGTTTTTAGACCTACCCTAACTGTCATGAACCGCAGAGCTAGACAAGATGAGCGCTTGAGGTTAAAAAGTATATAAATTGTAATTTTTTTTTAGAAAATAACGTTAAAATAAAAGATCGTTTCGCTAGATAAGACCCTTCTTCCTTGGCTGGGATCGTTTAGAGCCCTTTGAAGCTGCATTTAAACTACATTTTGGAAGTTCAAACTCGGGGGCAGCATAGAAGTCCATTATATGGAGAGAAATCCTAAAATATTTTCCTCAAAAAAACATAATTTCTTTACGACTGAAGAAAGACATGAACATCTTGGATGACAAGGAGGTGAGTACATTATCTGTACATTTTTGTTCTGGAAGTGAACTAGGCTAATCTTACTCCTTTAATCTCAGTCAATTCACCAGAAAGTGACAAACTGCTTTCCGCATCTGATGCCGCATATTCTCTTAGAGATGATGAGACGTACGAATCTATATGCTGATTTTAATTTAGCCTACTCTCTTAATATTTCTCTTGTGGCCCGAACATAGGCTAGTGAAGAAGAAAAAAAAGAGAAGAAACTTATAGGCTGTTTTGTGTTAAACAGGTTGTTTTTTGAAAGTCGGTGCTTGAAATTAAGCTGCTCTTCATTTTTATTGATGATTTCAGTGTTAATAATTTTAATTATAGGTCTATAATTCATTACATAATAAACGTTTTTTTTTAAAGATTTTGAATGAGGAGTAATAGCCTACCTCGCAGCGCATCAGTTGTGCGGTGATGCGCTATGAAATTATTGCGGGGCAAATTAATTGTAATATTAATTTAATAAAATAAAAGTAACCTAATAATAATAATAATAGGCGTAAGAAGAATGTAACAGGCCTACATTAATTGGAAATGCCAAATGCTCTTAATATTGCCAATTAGATGGGCCTAACTAAAGTGTAGGCTATACAATTATTTTATTCAGAAATGTCATGTTTGTGATTTTTTTTAAATTTGTTAATTCGTTATTTAAATTATTAGGCCTACTACATATTCGGAAACAGGTGCAGTTAGTCGCCGGCGTCAGTCACAAAAACCATCTTTGTGAGGAAGACAACAGCTGGTCTTAAATTCTTTAGACGCCGTACACTAAACGACTGAAAACACGACTGAACCCAAATTACATTCATAATCGGCCTGACAGTGGTGTGCTCCCGGCTGTACAGAATGAACCGGATCAGCCTGCGCTTGAAGCTCAAAAGTCTTACCGTTACTCGCGGGCTGATGGATGGGGCTCTCTCCCGCGTCAAGTGCTTTTTACAGAATTATGCATTGCTGCTGTTAACATTTTCTACGACATGCCCGAAACAGCCTGGATAACACAGCCGTCATTTAAATTAATCAAGAATTAGGCAAAAACACATTTTATTTATTTTAGTTATTTGAGATGTTATAATAGTTTTGTAATTGTGGTAAAATAGATTAAACAATAATTATTGAACAAATATTATATTTGTATAATAAGCTGGGGGGTGGGGGTCTACGCCCCTGCTTCGTAATGTATGCTAGAACAGGGCGACCATTAGCCTACTGACTCTGAATGGGACGCATCCTTTCTCTCTTAGTAGCCTATCGTCCCTCGTCCTCGCAGTCACACATATACTGTTAAAGTTATATCAAGGAATGTCTTCAAACTGTAATCAGGTTAATAACTTAAACCTTATTGTGCTGTCGACGAAAACATGCGTGAGCTTGCGCGCAGCTCATTAATACTGAGCTCTGATCGGTCAATCGCCGTTATTCAGTTTATAAATTATTATACGTAGAGAATATTAATAATAATTAATTTGTCAGATAAGATTTACATAATACACAACATTATTAATCTAAAGGGGATGGTGGTTTTACAGAGGGGATGCTTTTTGCCATTTTTTTTCAACCAGGGGCATGCCATCCCCCCTCAATTCGAGCCCTGTGCATAGCATAATGTGTCTCCAAACTCTCAGACTGAGCAACCACTGTCTGATTGTCAAGCTGTCATTACAGTCGGTCCAACTGAGGGCATATTTTATTATTTTATTCGTTGCATATGAATGCGGCAGTAAGTCTGAATGCACTGGAATAGCAGCATAAATATAAAGAAGGCACAAAGAGAACCAGTGCGTCTTGCTGTCTTGGCAGTATTTTGGGGGAACATCTGTCACTTGAATCGAATCCCGTCCTCTGGGGAGTCGATTCGGTCGTTCGAACGCGCCTTCGATGCCCGAAAATTCTGTCTAGTGAGGCAGTTTAAATACGTTTTGAACCACAGCCAGAAAGAGTCAGTGTAGCCAACAAACAAGTTAGCTTAGCGGATTCAAGTCTTACACGTCTGTTATAGCTCCCATTCTAACATTAACAACATAAACAGTCCGTTTAAGCGCAGAAACGTTTTCGGCCGTGTTTCTGTAGTGACTTGTTGTCTAAATTACCGCTAAACACACTGCATTTTAAGACCACGATAATGTGAGAAGCAGGGTAATTGTTCTTTTGACTTGCTGAACTTTACAACTAACGTTAGCCAGCTGAGCTAGAGAGTGAAACCAACCACTGCAGACCTACACAGATAAACAGTAACACACTTTACGAGAGCGATTTGAGAAGATATGGCTGTTTAAAATCAACGGACCGTCTTTATCTGAATATTTTTCCTTACTTTGAGCCAGTGATCCTCCGGCGACGCGCTGTTTTCCGTCATTTTGCAATAAACAATGACGGGATGTTACGAGCTGCGCCCCCTATTGGCCATTATCTGGTCTGACCTCTAGAGACTCATCCTCCAGTCTGTCGTTCTTTCTGCTGACTACTGACTGTGAATTCCGATGAAATCTATAAGTTCATTGTTAATATATTGAGCCATTCGATCCATCCATTTCTTTTTTATTTTACTCATTGCATTGTCTATGTATTCTTATAGCCTATACTATACACATATACCTTACACTGATCATCTCCTATATGAGTCAAGATAAACATCAGTGTGGTCATTTATTCCACACGGTGGTGCTCTAAGAGAGTTTATCAAACATCAAACTGAGAGTTGATGCTCATATATCTCATGGTAATGGGATAATCTATCTATCTATCTATCTCTCGTTTCCGGTGAGGGTGATGAGCGCGAGTGGGCTGAGTGCTGTGAGCGTGTGCGTGGTGAGTGAGTGAGTGATTTCTGTCGTCTTTTTCTTTCTTTGTGATTTTTGTTATAGTTTTGGGCCGTGTGCTACCGGTTGCTTACTGGAGTAAGCATGACGGCCCCGGCTACTCGGGTTTTGTCTACACTCGCGCGGCGTCATGCGGTTAAGGTGGCGTTGGCGGCGAGTATAGAGGAGATCTGCCTGGCGATTGGTGAGGTTGTAGGACATGGATGTATTTTATCAGTATCTAGGATGAATAGCGCTACAGTGATTTTTCTGTGCTTCCCCTCTCGTTGCCTTCGAAAAGAGTCACCTTATCTAATGTTCCCCCCTTTCTCAGTGACGAGATAATAACAACAGCTCTATCACGATATGGAAAATTGATTTCACCAATAAAAAAGATCCAGATTAACGCGATATCTCCTCTGTTGAAACATATTGTGTCTTTTAGGAGATTTGCATATATGATCGTTCAGGATGATGAGGAATTGGATCTTTCACTTAGTTTTAAAGTTGACGATTTTGATTTCAGCTGCTGAATTTTATAATTGGTCAGGCAAAAATGGCAATATATGTAAGTAGAAGGAATAAAATTGATCAAAAACCTTGTCAAAACATTACCGAGATATTTTTAACACTGGTAAAATCTAGAGTATTAATTGATTATAAATTTTATAAGGAGATGAATGATTTGTTTACCTTTGAAAATATTTGGTGTTGTAATGGAGTTCTTTGTATGATTCCTGAAAATTATTTAATGTTTGCCTTGTAAAATATAGGGGTGTGTATTGTGTAGATGTTAGATTTGGTAAATTGTTTGTAAAGATGGCTGTGAAATAAAGTTCTGTTTCAAATTCAAATTCTCTCTCTCTCTCTCTCTCTCACTATCTATCTATCTATCTGTCTATCTCTCTCTCTCTCTCTCTCACTATCTATCTATCTATCTATCTATCTATCTATCTATCTATCTATCTATCTATCTCTCTCTCTCTCTCTCTCTCTCTCTCTCTCTCTCTCTCTCTCTCTCTCTCTCTCTCTCACTGTCTGTCTGTCTACAGAGGCCTATAGATTTATTGTAATTTCTGTGTAAATATAAACCTTAAAGTCTTGGGTTTGAAAAAGCTATTTATGACTAGCAGAACACAACACTAAATAATAAATGAAACCAATGATAAACATTTAATAAATTAAAATACATTGAATAAAAAATAGATCAGTTATATGTAGTTATAAAACAGATTTGATGATCTGTAAAATAAATAGATAAATAAAATAAAAATGCCAGTGTGGTTTTATTGTGTTCAGTTGTCCAACAGCTATTACAAAGGTTACAATAAGGTCCCATTAGCTAATGTTAGTTAATGCATGAACTAACATTAGCTATCAATCTGCAATATATTTGTTACAGTATGTATCAATACATTTATTAGTTAATCAAAATACAACTGTTCTTGTTAGTTCAGGTTTCATACCATTAAATTTAAATTTTAATGGTTCATACCATTAAATAATATGAACAGAGACACTTTTTGATTTTAATTATGTATTAGTAAATGTTAAAAAATTACCTGAGATTTGTAAATGCTTTAGGCCATTACAAAAATATTATATTAGGCCAGAATTCACAAAAATAATCTTCTAGAGAAAACAAGTAGGCTTGTGACAACAAGCCCTGATCAACAGCATCAGTGTCATACAGTACATAATATGCACATGAGTAGTGTGATATGTTTTAGATAATCATATTTTTTAAAATACAAACAGAACATAAACTGACACACCCAGCGGGCTTCTGTCTCTAGTGCGAGGTATGCAGGAAGCAGTGATGCTTCTGCTTTTTTCTGTGGTTTCCTTCTGCTGTCACAACTGCTTCTCTCTCATTTCTGTAACACACACAATTGTGATCGGACAGGTGCCTTCATGTAAATTTGCCAACATCTGTATATTCTTTTGGAAGAAACTTCTGCAGACTTGATCAGAGGGGGTGGACATAAAAGAAGTTGTGAGAAAGATGCTCCAACATCTGAAGCAATCACATGAGAGGCAGAAAACTGGAGAAAAGGCCTGTTACACTGATAATCAACACATTCAGCCGCACTGACAGACTGGAAGAACTGAACTTTTAAAGGACCTCTATTGTCTTTATTGGGAAAGTATAAACAGAGGCTTTTCTTGTTCCTTTTTTTTTTTAAAGCAAAGGTAAAAGTTCTTTTTAACCTCCATTTTAAAATCTGATTGTGAGTTTGATTTTAAATTCTAATCCTTGTTGAGAGCTTCTTCACAATCACTTGCACCGTCCTGGACACAGTTTTGGTTTAAAAGGTATTCATTCTGTCTGACAGCATGTCCTAAAAGACTCCATGTGCTTCCACCTAACACTGGATCTGAGTGACTAGAAAACTTCAAAAACTTCAGTGGATTTTTACCTGTGGATTGCAGAGAGATTAGTCTGGGTTCCTCCAGAGTTTGGCCTTTTGGAATTGCCAGTGGCTGATACAGAAAGAGTTCAGTATCCTGGAATTCCTGAGGAAAGTTGTGATGGGTAACGCAGTCGGCGGGTTGGAGCAGATGGAGGGGCAGGAGGCCAAAGGCTCAACAGGAGGGTCAAATGTTGCTCCCTCCACACCTAAAAAGAAATGTGCCCCTGCTAAACTACCCATGCCTCCTGAGGAAGAGCTCGAAGAACGCTTCAGTGTGGTTTTGGTGAGTTTTTTATACACAGACATGTAAATATTAAATATCAACACAGCAAAAGCAGCTAATCTTGGCACTTCCTGTTCTGATAAAAACAACAGCCGTGTTAGGAACTACAACAGTATTAAATTCTCTGGTTTTGCATTTTGGAAACATAAATACTAGCTGTAGGGGGGAGAAAAACAGAGGAACTTCTTGATGCACAGACAGTAGGCACAACATATTAAAAGGATAATCAAACACAACATGAACATTTCAAAGCAAATGCAATCTTCCACCTGAAATGCAAAATGAAGTAACATTTGGAAAAACACTTCTGACTTAATACAATCTGACTACTGTCACTTTAGTTCCACATGGGCTTTTGGTATAGGAAATGGTAGTGACGGGATGACAAATTAGGCAACTTCTTAAGAGAAGTCATAAGACAACAAGAGGTCCTATATTCTCTGTCATGACTGACCTTTGTTTCGTCTTTCGTTTCAGTGCAAGACACCACTGTCAGTTGGTTATACTCCTAGATATGCCATCCCGTTTATTGAGCAATTTCTTGTATCATTTAATTGATTCCTAATGGAAGCTCAGTTATCTTCCGTTTGGTTCCACTTCAGCAACACATTATGTAAGCCTGTTTCCATCATAGAATGAATATTGTTACTTCTCATGAATGCAACTTTATATGTCCCAACTGTGACTTTATATCTCACAGTATGACTTTATTTATTGTTTTAACTTCTCAAAATAACATTTTATTTTTACTCAAATAAAAAAAGCACTTCCATATAACAAATGGCCATTTGATCCTTCTGAAAAACTCTTATTGGTCTATGCACAACCAGGCTGTCCCTGGCCCCGTGATGAGTTGGACCCACTAAACTCATCTTTACAATGCTCAGAGGATGGGGGAGTTTGGGACAATCCCTGCAATTTTGTCCTTGACCCCATAAATTCAAGCAACTACTCTGATTAGATTACCATTGTATGTTAAAGAATAGATGCATCACACATGGTCACACTTCACAGTGATGTCCTCATTGCAGGCTACTGCCATATGCCCTGCACTGTGCATTTGGTGCATTATATATAATATCAACTTAATCTAGTCTGCACTTTATTCACTCTCTTGAACCAGTAGACCACAGTTAGTCCCCCACCCTACCCCACCCACCCCGCTCTCTCTGTTCTTCCAGTAACCGCTCAATGTGTTTCTAAATGCACTTTCGCTCTTTGTGCACACAACCTTAAAAAAAAAAACATGCTCAAAGCGGAAACGTCTTAGTGCTTCAGGAGGAAACACCCAAGAACACAATGTTTCTACACTAAACTTTACACCTTTTTTTTTTTTTTTTTTACAACACACCCTCTTAATTTGGTTGACAGGTACAATTCCAGATGTGGTGTGAAAGTACAAAACATAAAGCTAATGATGAATTTTTGTTGCTAATAATGTTTACATGCAAGACATGTAGCAACTCAGCCCCGTGCTATCTTTTCAGGAAGTCACATTGTGTCAGACTGATGACACACTGCATATGATCTTAAGTAGATAAATATAAATGTAAGGGGAAATGAATGTATGAGATATGCACATAATATAATAGTTCACTCAAAAATGAAAATTGTGTCACCATTTACTCACCCTCATGTCATTTCAAACCTTTATGACTTCTGTGAAACAACAGTGGACCCCATAGACTTTGATTGAGACATTTCTTTTTTCAAATTTCCACAAAAACCATCCAGGTTTGAAATGAAATGAAGGTAAATAGTAGCCTAAATGATGACAGGATTTTCATTTTTGGCCGAACTGTCCCTTTAACAATCTGAAGTAGACTAAACTAGGAACAATAATTCTATCATACACATTTTGTAATGTAGACATTTCCCATGTTCGTTCAACCATTGTCTTGCATCAGATATA